AGTGGAGAGCACTTCACCTTTAAAGTCCCCATGAGCCAGAAGTTGTAACTACTTTACTTCGGTGTTGTGACATATTTCCAAGAGAATTTCCATAGCAGACTGACGGTTGAAGGGAAGTTAAAGGATATTCAACCCAAACTGTCAAACATTAAAGAAGGAACGCCATTCCAGAGCGGAAGCAAATTTTACAATAATCACATTCTTTTTGTTCCACACTTCTAAACTATCGGTTTATAGGGTTAGTTAACCCAAAAATGTAAATTGTCATTAATTCCTCGCCCTAGCCTAGAAATCTAGACGCACCCTAGCGGTAGTGAAAATTATTTCGCAGCCAGTGTCGTCTAACAACTCTCCATAGACGTTTAGCTGGAAAAACCAAACTCTGGTCAGGCCAATCATATCGTGTATAGAGTCAGAGGGCGGGCTTAAAGGGTTAGCTAATGAAAATTAGGTCATTAATTACTCACCCCCATGCTGTACCAACCCCGTAAGACCTTCGTTCGTCTTCGGAACACAAATGAAGATATTTTTGATTAAATTTGAGAGGTGGATCACTGTTACATAGGCTGCCTAAGGGATTGAAACTTGATGGCCCAGAAAGTCAATGAACAAAATGTTTAAATATTCCATGTGACTGGCTCAACTATAAGTTTATCAAGCGACGAGAATACTTTTTGTGCGAAAAACGAACAAAAAAATAAACGCATGCGTCGTGGAAATCTCTTGAAGTCTCATTTCAGGCCTACAAGGAAGAAAAGGAATAGTCGAATAAAATCGTTATTTTTGTTTGTTTTTTCGCACAAAAAGTGACTTAATTTTCATTTTTGGGTGAACTAACCCTTTAACGTAATGACGACAGAGTTGTGACGGTTCACTGCTACTTGAAAACAAAGAATGGCTGCTGCTGGCGAACAGCTGTCTTTCGATTCGGCTTTGACCGCTACTCTGGATGATTCGAACTTAAGCTTTTCATTGAAACCAGAACAAAGGACACATTTTCGGGCAGACTCATCACGGAGACTCACTAGTAGCCTAGACTTGTTTACCTACTGTGCTGTTACCGGTAGGCGTGGCCTCCTAGGGCAGCGAAGCAAGTGCATTCTGGGAGTTGTTGTCTTTCATCCACATAAGCCAAAAACAAATTTTCTGGCTTTTCTCAGTCTAGAAAGCTCCAAATTCAAAAATAATTTCACATTTTTCTACATAAATGACCCATTTTAAATACACATTCATCTTTCAAGAGGTGGAGTGACCCTTTAAGTTCAGGGCCTGTTTCAACATTCCTATCAACCAATCCCTGCCTCAGATTTTAGGGTTGATGATTGCTAGATGTTGACAGAGGGAAATATTGACTTCCTTTCAATAAATAATCAAAAAATCACAATTCTGCATTGTCTTCAATTTGAATTCCACAATTTTGCTTTCTTTCAAATCCATTGGAATTTCTCATTTTTAATTCTCTCACAGAAGGCGATGCCCAATAAACAAGAAGACACGAGGAAACTATCCCAAACATGACCATGAATACTCTGCTGATTTGGACAAACCATGCCTGCTAAATGGATAATCACAAATATTTAAATGTTTGAATGTTTTCCATACAGGGAATATTAACAAAGTCAAACAGCACAACACTGATCACCATAGTCTTCTGCACACGCTACACCAGATGAACAGCAGGAGAAAGTCATACAAACAGTTTCAGTTTCTCCAATCATGTAACAAGATCCCTCAGACTGATGAGACATCTCAGAGAGACAGATTGTGCCGTTTTAAATAACTCATGACGGCAAACCAAACATGAATGGGCGCGTGGTTGTTCCCACAGGAAAGCAAGTGTTTGTTTTCCCCTTCCATAAAACTGCTATTTTATCTGGAGCAGCAAATTATATATTGCTGTCATTTTTCATCCTTATTGTTGCTTATGCACCATTTACATAGAGATTGCATTGCCTCGCTAGTGAGAACGGCCTCCTAAACACTACAGTAATGATGTAGTGGGGTTTCAAATGATGTAGAGGGTCATTTTGTCACGCTGCAAGGCTCCACTGCATGCCAATCAGGCACAAAAACGAAAATTAATAGCATCTGGTTACTGCTTGTTTATTCAAGAGTATAATTAACTGCCAGTTATTAGTGTTCTGGAGACAGTTTCGTTTTTAACTCGTGGGAAGGGCCACATTTCAAATGCAAGAAAGTGAAGATTGTGTCAAAGGCTGATTTGAATAGAGTACATTATGAATTTTCCATAAAGACGTTGACTGGATTTTTATGTTTGACCTTTGAAGGGGGAAAATAAAATGCACAATAATTTTAAGTACAAATGTTCTTTCTGTAATTGGCTGTTATAAAGGATAAAGCAGTGTAAAACTGCGTCTACACAACACTTTTTTAGTTCACTGCCGTATTTGACTTTATTTTTTTTTTATATTAAGTGCAAAGGCCAATCACCAAATACAGTTAAACAGAGGATTTGTACAATAAAGCTAAAGAATCCAGCAGTTTTATGATTTCACATATTTTCTACAGCCAAAACCAACAACCGGGTGATGCATGATTTGTGAATAATGTTTTCTGATACTAATGCAATACCATTTTATATTTGGATGTACGATTTCTTAAAACAAGGGGTTTTACAGTTTTATAGACATTTTTTTCCTTCCTAAAATGTAAATGCAGCTATATATATTCGTGAATAAAGTCATAATTATACTGTGAAAAGCATTATAGATATATATAAAATATTTAATTGGGCCCAGTGAATAAAATTATTCGTATTAATCTCATAATTCACTAATAGACTTTAAAGGCAGATGGAAACAGCAATAATTATTTGACATTGTAATATGTATTTGACATTTTAATACCATTCTATGGATATTATATTAATAATTTTTATAGAATAGAATATGAAGTATAAATTGGTGCTCATAAATGGATATGCCTCTTTTTTCTCATACATTCACAAACCCCATTCAGAATCTAAATATTAAAACAATAAGAAAAAAAGAAACTGCTTATTTAATTCTATACTGAAAAAGTGACATAATAGACTTTATATTTCCAAAAAGACAAAATAAAACTGAATATTGCCACATTTGTGTAAAATCATCATCATATAATAATCATATAAATAAAAATATGATATAAAATAATTAATAAGCAAAAATATATGTTTTAAATAAATTATGACTTTACATACAAACATATTTAAAATAAATTGTACCAATTTACCATGGTATTACTATCTGACAAAACAGCACCTTTAAGAGAAATACATAATCCTGTCAAAAATTATATTAAAGCACCTAGACTTGTACATTCAGACAGCTGAGCATGTGCGCACACACACACACACACCAACGCACCCACACGCTCAAAGTTGATGAGCCTGGAGGAATGATCTTAATCGCTTACATGTGTCTTCCTTTAATTGTATTTCCATAATTACAACATAATTAATGTGGCATGTCCATGTCTACATGAGCACGACACACTGCAATAATAAATCAATCACGCGGCACGAGTTGACCATGATGAGGTTTGTTCCGATGCTCTTCTGGGATGCCGTGGCGAGTCCATTACTGGACCTGTGCCTGTAATTATGTCTCTATATCAAAGCTCATTCTTCTTCTACTCTCTTTCTTTATTGATAAGCTTCTCTGTAATTGTGGTTTTCCCTGGACATGTGCTAACAGTAATGCTCTATATTATCGCAGGCTTGTGTGGGAGGGAAAATGGGTAATGTGAGCCATTACTGCACGACCTATGCAATGCAAAATGAAGTGAATTATGGGTTAACGGCAATAAGCAGAGAATTCCAAAGCAGCGTGCGCATGAATACAGATTTTGAGCTCTGGAGTGGCGAGTTCTTTAAGCCATAGAAGGTCACAATTGAATACTTTTTGTATCTTCTTCTAGCTTCTGACCTTCTAACCTCCTAGACTATTCATTTTTGTGCAAAATCGCTGAATAATGGACAACAAAACATGAGCTCAGCTCGACTTTGATGGCTCAGACTTGACAGAATGAAAGATGGGGGTTGAGGTTTTCAGATGTGTTCTTACAACATAGCCTGGGTTTTTTTTTTCATGAGTTTTGACCTTTCTTCTGTTGAGATTGTGATTTCCCTTCCATCTCTGTCAAGGCATGTAATTCAGTCTTCGTGATGTTTTGTGTATAGCAATGCTGGTCAGCAAACTCGGAAAAAGGTTCGTGCCACAAATCACTATGATGCAGTTTGTATTTTTCAATGTTTTAAGATATTTTTTGAAATGCATTAAAGCAGACATATCAGCAAAAAAAGTTTCTTCTTTTGCAAAGATTTTGAACTATGAAAGCACCATCTACAATACTAACACACAACCAGTCCAACCAAATCATTTTCTAGAACTAATATACAAAAACAGATTTATAAACCATACAAATATTCTATACCATAATGACCCTGATGAATGACACTATGAATTACGCTCCAATAGAGGCAATTTATATAAAAAAGTCAAACATAACAAACACCCTGTTTAAAGGAGCACTTCATTATTTACTCATCTTCATCATTATTTACTTATTTACTTCATTTAAGTCCAGTAAATAATGACAGAACTGTCATTTTTGGATGTGTTGTAGTTTTACATCAGTATTTTCAGCTTAAAGAGGACTAAGCAAAACACACACACACACACAAACACAACTAAATTATGGACAAGAAAATGTATCTAATGTCTATAATATCTAACATCACTGATGATATGTCCAGGTTGCATCAATAAGGGGAGTTAAAACACACACACACACACACACACACAAAAACACAATAAAAAATAAATTATAATATGCTGCAAAAGTGTGGACTGTATCCCACAGCTACGTCACACCGCTTGAAAGAAATTCAATTCAGACAGCCACCTAGTTGAGATCAGTGACGCGAGACGTACATCAGAAGATAATCTGGAGCCCTCGTACAGAAACACATTTCAAAATGTTCTCTGGGAGCTTACCAGATTCTCGTGAGATCTGAACGAATGCCTCCACGCCGCTCTCTCCATAATTCCCCTCAGATGCCAGCGTGGAGACGTAGTTCCAGCCCATGGCGGTCACAATGTCCAGCATAGCTTGGGCCTGGTAGGAGTCTGGCGGCACAACCCGGGAGAAGAAGTCGTAGCGGGTGTTATCGCTCAGCTCCGGCGCTGTGGATGCATAGCTGATCTGAGGGATCTGTTAAAGAGAAGAGAAAACAATCTGTTATGCAGGAGAGATTTTACCGAGTCCTGAGGCAGAAATAGACAAGTTCATAGAGAGGACCTGTTAAGTCTTGGTTTTGTTTTTGAGGTCTATTAGAATGTTTCATGCTTGAAAGTTATAAAAACATCTCATTGTTGTTATGTGTGTATTTTAAGCCTTCAAAATGGATTAAAATACATATATAATATCATTTTAAAGGCTTTTGTTCACTTAGGTCTATTTTTATTACCACAAAATATATTATCCGATTAATCGTCAAAATAATCAACTGATTACTCAAAAAAAATATATAATAATCGCCTGAGATTATAAACCATTTAAAAAAATGCATCTGTATTGCTTTGCATTTTCTGACTTTCAGTCAAATAAAATACTATTTTTCCTGTCATATATTTACACTATGGTGGTGAAAAAAATATGAAATGGGAGAATTTTTTTGATTTCAAAACATTTATTCCTCGGGGATGCAAACATTTTGCAAGTGAACGCCTGTTCACACTGGTACGAATTTTGCGCGCGATATTCGCCGACGTTTAATGCCTCGCGAGTAAACAACAACAAATGGCGCCAATGTGAGTGTGCACACCGACGCAGAAAACGCCACGCGTAAAAGCATAATTTTAAACAAAAAAACGCCTCGGGTTTGTTTTTTTAGTTTGACGCGCCGCATCAAAAACTATCTGACCAATGAGATTTGCGCTTTTGCTCAGGTGTCTGGAGCTTCTGAAGTTACAGTAAATCACAACTTAGGGGCGCTCAAACGCAAAACGGTCTTGCCGACACACATACGTAACGGCGAAGAAGATCTACGCTAAGATCTAACGTCGCCATCTATGCTGCCAGGAAGAAATAAGACGAGGAAGATGCAAGGCAAGATGAATGTAGAGCTGCTGGTCTCGTGGTGTTGAACGACGAGACTATATGGTGTTAGAACATAAAGAACTATATGAAAAATGCGACAGTGACTACAAACATCTTGATAAAAGAGAACAATTATGGTAGCATTGCAGAGCAAATGGGCGCCATCTAATGTCAGGGAATGAATTTGCATGTTCACTCGGCTCATCGTCAGCGAAAAAAACGCATTGAAAAACACTGGCGAATAACGTGTGCCGATATTCGTCCCGGTGTGTGCCCTTGACCGTAAAGTTTCTTGGGGGAACACACAACATTTTGGAGAGAACACAAAACCATTTCCTCTTATCTCCTATTTTTTTCCCCCTCACTATGCCCCTTTAGTGGCTCCGCACTAAGAAAGTTGAAAATGTAAAAAAGCATAATAGCTTTTTTAATTGTCACAAAGCCCCCTTTAGGTAGAATACAAAACTTTCAGCCCCAAAAGAAGCAAACGCTGACTCTTTTACAAGAGTTAATCATTAAATTTTGCCAGAAGCAAAGTGAAAAATGCACAACCATTTAAAACAAGCAAAGGTGGAGAGATTAATGCAACCTCCGAAACCGCTTTAGCCCAAAGCTATTGATGGAAAGGACTACCAACCCGTGAGGTGACGCAAAAGGTGAAACAAGACCAGGTAACGAAGACAAATCAGTACGTGTTGTGGTAGAAAGAGTCGAGGTGAAGCCTGCCAGCAGGCAAGCAGGGTAATGGCTTCTTGTGGCGATTGACGGTGTGATTGATTTCTCCTCAGCCAAAAGGCCAGGCTGTCAGCCGGAGCCCCAGAGCCTGCGCTCATCAGCATTCATTGCAACAACGGTGCGGGAGAGAACCGGCCCGCAATACAAATGCCACTCACTGACTGGCGAATCGGGTACCGGCGCTTTTTCACCCGCAACCCTGGATCGCATGCTTGTAAATACAAATGTCACGGATGTGTTGACATGCCTGTGAAACAGATGCGTGTGTGTGGGGCTTTGTGTTGTTTCCGGGGAGTGTTAAATCAAAGGTGCTGCACGCATGAGCTAATGCTAACACTAGAATTTATTCACACCTTAAAAATAAACTTTTTGTTTTATGCTTATCAGGTGTTAAATGACAAGTTAGTGTCAGATTCCCTACACTCTAAAACTGCTGGGTTGTTTTAACCCAGTGTTGGGTAAAACCCAGCCATTGGGTTCCATTTTTGAATTACATTTTTAACCCAATGGCTGGGTTTGTCCATATTTGACCCAAAATTGGGTTAAAACAACCCAGCATTTAGTTCTAGGTTAAAGGCAGGTTTGTTCCAGAAACATTTTTTGTTATGCACGTTGACAGTCTCTTCACATCCTGATAGCAATCACTGAGTTATGCTTTAAATTATATGTATACAACTTCCTCGGTAGGCATAGGACCATACAATGTTCGTCCAATCATTGCATTTGGACCGAATGCAATGATTGGACAAACAATGTAGGGTCTTTCACTCATATCATTTAATTTGTTTGTTTTTAATGCGAAAAACAAAAAATTATAAAACATTAAAATTTTATAAAACTACCTTTGTCCTCATTGTCTATCCTTTTATGGACAAAATAAAAGGCAATTTTCTAAACATCTTGGGTATGACTACAAGTAATTAATGTAAGTGTATTCACAAAAACAAAAACTACATATTGCTGCTTTAAGTTCACCCAAAAATGAAAATTCTGTCAGTATTTACTCACCCTCATGTTGTTCCAACCCCGTAAGACCTTCGTTCATCTTCGGAACACAAATTAAGATATTTAAGATATTAAGATCGCTCCTGCATACAGTCCATAGGCTTCTTGAGGTACTGGCTCTTGCTGTCCCCGAAAAGTCATTAAAGACATCGTTAAAATAGTCCAAGTGACTACAGGGGCTCAATCTTAAGTTTATCAAACGACGAGAACACTTTTGTGCGCAAAAAAACAACAAAAATAACGACTTTATTTCAACTATTCACTTCCTTCTCCATGAGCCTGTAAGTCAGTTAACGTAGTGTGATTGCGTAGAGCTACGTCACACGTAGGCTCACTATTGGCCGACGCTGGTCATGTGTGTGTGATGCGTGTGACGTACATTAACAGAAGCTTACGCTATTAAACTAGTAACCTGACTCGCGCAGAGGGAGAAATAAACGAATAGTTGAAATAAAGTCGTTATTTTTGTTGTTTTTTTGCGCACAAAAGTGTTCTCGTCGTTTGATAAAGTTAAGATTGAGCCCCTGTAGTCACTTGGACTATTTTAACGATGTCTTTAATGACTTTTCGAGGACAGCAAGAGCCAGTCCCTCAAGAAGCCTATGGACTGTATGCAGGAGTGATCTTAATATCTTAAATATCTTAATTTGTGTTCCGAAGATGAACGAAGGTCTTACGGGGTTGGAACAACATGAGGGTGAGTAAATACTGACAGAATTTTCATTTTTGGGTGAACTAACCCTTTAAGACCTCATAGAGATCCATTGTAAGTCCATTCCTGTAAACGCATCTTTCTTCACTTGCTATCAAAAGTCAGATTAATTCAAATGAGATTTTTGTTTCAAATCTTTTCACATGAAATAACATGGTTTCACTTGCATATTTCAAGCTTTAATGCCATCTTCATCTCGAGCGATTACCATGCGCACATGAAATTCGTATGTTTTACCGTTGGTCAGAGGAAGGCATTTTGGATGGTGCATGGAGTAACTTTTAAAATGAGGCATTTAAAACGATTTCAACTCTACCCTGAAGTTTCGCTCCGGAACATTTCATTCAGCCGCTCAAGTGAATGACAGAAACTTTAAGTAGCTCAAGAGAGACAGTCTGAGTCTCTCTCTGCCTGTTCAAATGCCTCCTTTCAGAACTCAGCCCACAGTGTTTTGAATTTTGCTGCACACAGTAAAGGTTAGACTCAGAAATGATGCCTGTAGAACTTAATTTCACGCTCATGTTTCCTGTTTAATAAAATATTACAGACCCACAAAAGAGATGCAGAGAAGACTAAAAACCTAAGACTTTTCAAAGCGGCCATGAGGGAAATCAAGTGTGATACTTTCCATAAAATAATATATTATCGCTGATGGGGAGAAACAAATTAACCTTCATCAGCACAGCAATAATATTTCCTCATACAATGCAATTCAGAAATGCATAATAGTATGCAATTTCCATTGTAAAGTACATTGAGTTAAGAACCCGTATCGCTTTGGATTACTTTAGCTTGAAAGTTTGTTGCATGAACTGTACATTTTTGCCAGGATTTACCAGTGTCCTTAAAATGAAATGTAATAAATAAAATTAATTAATAAATTATATGTGAATATTATTACAACTATACACCTCTGAAATTGAATCAGAATGATCAGGGAACAGAGTGAAATAATTCACACTGCATGCTAAAGAGAATAAACGCCAATCCAATTGAAACACCTCACCGGCTTAACATGTGTTGGGGGCAGGAACAGTATATTTAGACCGAATTTTTTGCAAAAAAATGCAAAAAACTATGTATTCCGATTCTGACATTCCTGGTGCTGAAAGCATTCTTTAGAAATGTTGGCCCATATTGATAGGATAGCATCTTGCAGTTGATGGAGATTTGTGGGATGCACATCCCCTGTTCCACCACATCCCAAAGATGCTCTATTGGGTTGAGATCTGGTGACTGTGGGGGCCATTTTAGTACAGTGAACTCATTGTCATGTTCAAGAAACCAAATTGAAATGATTCAAGCTTTGTGACATGGTGCATTATCCTGCTGGAAGTAGCCATCAGAGGATGGGTACATGGTGGCCATTAAGGGATGGACATGGTCAGAAACAATGCTCAGGTAGGCCGTGGCGTTTAAACGATGCCCAATTGGCACTAAGGTGCCTAAAGTGTGCCAAGAAAACATCCCCCACACCATTACACCACCACCACCAGCCTGCACAGTGGTAACAAGGCATGATGGATCCATGTTCTCAATCTGTTTACGCCAAATTCTGACTCTACCATCTAAATGTCTCAACAGAAATCAAGACCAGGCAACATTTTTCCAGTCTTCAACTGTCCAATTTTGGTGAGCTCTTACAAATTGTAGCCTCTTT